CTATCTCAGCCCTGCCCGTGTTTTGGCCAATGTTTGCCAAACTCGAATTAGCTCTCGGCAGTAAAAGCACGGTCTCAGAACACGGCCGTGTTCTGGTTTAGGTGTGCCCGTGTTTTGGCTCAGCTTCACCGAAATGACTTCCGAATGCCCCGAAACTCGTGCTTAGCCTTCCCTTTTACACCTGGGACCTGAAACATGACAAAATAGCACAACCCGGCATAAAATAGGCCAAAAACACACGACTATGCCCCTCAATCGGATAAGAACTAGGGGTGCAAATACGTGCAATTACATCGTTATCAAATTCCCCCACACTTAACCGTTTGCTTGTCCCCAAGCAAACCTAACTCAAACCAATGCAACTCTCCAGACCTCTATAGAAACAAACAACCCAGATCGTAGGTAGAGGACTTCCTAGATCATTTAGCAGCTTACGAGGTCAATCGACGCACAAGTCATCTCATAGCTTCTTCGGCGAGAGCACTAGTATCGAGTCGGCATCATGGCAAATAGTGAACAGAGGACAAATGAATTGTGGATGAAGAGATTCTCAAAAACAAAAGATCATGGACTCACATTTTTCAAGGTGCTCTATTTTCTTCTTGAAGATGGTTGGAACCCCTTTTCTTTCTGTTTTGCTTGTTTTCTGTTATTTTTTCTTTTTTTTCTTTTTTTCAAGGGTCCCAACCGGCTCTTACCGGCCATGCCAGGAGCGGATGTCTCGAGCCTCGTGCGGGGGAAAGACATGTAAGGGGGCTGGAGGTAGTAGGTGGAAATTGGGAACGAATTCCGTCTCCCCTTACACACTTTCGCCCTATTCGCACGGGAGACGTTATTTTGAAGCACATTTTCGAGCACCTGTTAAACTCAAAACATGATACAAGTGTCCATGACAGGTAGAGAGGCCACAACACCACACAATTCAAGGGTCCTAAGATCACTAATTCACTCAATCAACCAACACAATATGAAGAAGAAATGAGACTTCTTAAATGCATCAACATCCTCCATAGTGCTACACTACCTCCCTAGGTTGCATATTACTATAAAGACTGTCAATTCAAAGCATACTGAGCAGGAAATTGCAAGGAACACGTACTTGGAGCCCTCAAATTTAAAAATTTGGACAGTGGACTAGGCTCCAAGCACACAAACAGATCTAATGCAGTCAAAAGATAAACATCCCCCCACACTTAAGATCGACATTGCCCTTAATGGAGAAGAGGGAAGGAAAAGGGGAATGATGTTACCGGTATGCACGGACTGCAGGAGACTGGAAACGGACCAGTCGGAGTGAAGCGGATTGGAAAGAGGACCAGTCAAGACAAGCACAGCTAGAGGGGAATAGAAGAGCTCAAACACAATATGTTAGGTCCAATGGTCAGCCCAATAAGGCATCATCCAAAACAAAAGAAAACAAACCAAAACCAAACTGGTTTACAATCCGACTCAAAACACAAGAAAGAAAGCCAAACCGTGGTGGGGTTGCCTCCCCACAAGCGCTTCTTTACCGTCTTTTAGCTGGACGCCCATGGTGGATACTCAGGGAGGTGCAGGAACAGGTGCCTCCAAGAGCGGATCCACGTCGCTCTTCTTGAGGTACAGCTTCAGGTTGTGGCTATGCACCCGACGGATGCGACCACCATCATCGGTCAGCTCGACCTGGCCATCTGGCAAGATGCAGGCGAGTGAGTACCCGGACGGCCAGGGTGGTCGTGGTGCAGAAGGTGGGACCAGCTCATAGTGGTCTCCACTCTTCTTCCGTGCAGGTTTAGCAACCTGCTGCTTCGGCCGTCACTCCTCCTTGAGCTTTTTGTTCGGAGGCGAGGCTGGATGGAGTGGCGGCGAAGGAATGATAGGAGGGTCCTGCAAAATGAGAGGTGCAGAAGGATACACGACAGGCTCGTGTACCTGATCAGAAATGGCATGCACAAGTGTGACAGCAATCATAGCACAGTGATCAAATTCAGTCACAGAAAAAGTAGCATGTTCATTCCCAGCACGCAAGATCAGTTTACCATCATGCACATCAATAAGTGCCTTGGCGGTGGCAAGAAATGGTCTCCCCAGAATCAATGGCACATCCACATCCTCATGTATATCAAGAATAACAAAATCAACAGGATATGTGAATGCACCGACACTGACAAGCAGATCCTCTATGATTCCCCTAGGATGCACAATGGAACGATCAGCTAGCTGAATGCTCATCCTAGTAGGGCGAAGTTCACCTAGGTCTAGCTTTTTATACAACTTATATGGCATGACGTTTATGCTAGCGCCTAGGTCCGCCAAGGACTTGCCTACATGCATGCTGCCAATAGTAAGAGGGATAGTAAAACTCCCTGGGTCTTTGCGCTTTTCGGGCAGCTTGTTCTGCAGGATAGCAGAACACTCCTCGCTCAGCAACACTGTCGAGAGATCCCCAAGTTTCTTCTTGTTGGTGAGGAGGTCTTTCATGAACTTGGCATACTTGGGCATCTTTGACAGTGCCTCCACGAACGGTATGCTGATGTTGAGCTGCTTCAACATTGCTATAAACTTGGCAAACTCAGTCTCCAGCTTGTCTTTGTGTAGGCGAGTGGGGAAGGGAAGTTGGGGTACATGCTCCTTGACCACTGGTTGTAGCTTGGGAGCAGGGGCTTCCTTCTCCACCCGCACTTCTGCATCGTCGGCTGGAAGTGCTGAAGCAGGTAGTGGTTCCTCCTGTCTGGCCGAGACAGGATCAACAGATATGGTCTTACCGCTCCTGGTAAAAATGGCATCCAGCTGCTGGAGCTGGTGAGGATCCCGAGGATTCGGGATAGTGGTGGCAGGCAGAGTCCCCGGTGCCCTGGTAGTGTTTTGGCGGGCCAAGATGCCCACCTGGGTCTGCAGATCTTGCAAAATGGCACCCTGGTTCCGCTGACCAGCCTCCAGTGATGTGATAGCAGCCTGAGTGCTAGTCATGAATGAAGCTAGAATATTTTCCAGCTTTGTCATCCGGTCATCTGGGGCAGGGGCTGCTGCTGGCTCGGCAAATTGGCGCTGGGGCTGCTGGAATGGTTGCCCCTGCCTAGGCTGGTAGGGCTGCTGCTGTGGGGCTGGCCCCTATCGAGCCTGGAAGGGCTGCCTCTGCTGAAAACCACCAGCTGGTGCTGGGAAACCAGGTGGTTTAGTGGTGTTGCTGCTCCAAGCGAAGTTGGGATGCTGGCGCCACCCCTCATTATATGTGTTGCTGTACGGGTCGAGGCGCCGAGCATTGGCGATGAAGTCCAACTGCTCTTGGAGAGTAGTAGACTCCCTCATAGCCTGGCAGTCTTCCACTAAGTGATTCGAGCTCTCACACCACTGACATTGAGCAACTGGAGGTGTAGCCAAACCTCTGCCCGGAATAAGACTGTTGGGGTGCTTCAATGTCTGCACTAGCTCAGCTACCTGCTGCTCGAGCCCGGATCTGGTCTCCATGGCGTGCACACCACGGTCCCGGTAATGTCTGCCTCTGCTGCTCTGCCCCCAAGAATGATCTCTGGCAGCCAAAGTATTGATCATCTGGTTCAGCTCGGGTGGAGTCTTAGTGAGAACATCCCCTCCTGGGCATAGAGACTCAATCACCCTCTGGCTGTCTGCAGAGAGAGCACTGTAGAAGTTCCCCACTATGAATGCATCGCTGAAGCCATGATGGGGACACTGCCAGAAATATCCCATGTACCACTCCCATGCATCACGAAGTGACTCATCGGGCTCTTGGCGGAAGTGAGTGATCTCCCGCTGGATCTCTGTAGTCTTCGATGCCGGATAGTACCTGTGCACGAATTTGTCTGCCAGATCGTCCCAAGAGGTGATGGACAATGGGGGCTGGGTCTCCAACCACCTCTTAGCATTCCCCGCCAGAGAATGGGGGAAGAGATGAAGGCGGATTGCATCATCAGGAACACCATTCAGCTTGAACCCGTTCGTCAGCTGCAGAAAACGGGAAAGATGCACCCTGGCCTCCTCATCCTTCAAGCCATGGAACTGGATAGAAGATGTAATGAGCTGAATCCAGCATGGCTTGATCTCGAAGTTGTTTGCTGGAATGGGCGGATAGAGGATGACCGGGCGGATGTCAGCAATCCGCGGAGTGTAGTAGTACTCCAAGGTGGGACCCGGCGGCGGTGGATGATGAACCCCATGGTCCTGGGGTATGGGGTTGTTCCCCAGGACCTGATTCACCGGGGGAACCTGCTGCGGATTCCCCTGGTGTTGATTGTAGTCTCCGTCCATCTCGTGCTCTTCTTCAGAATTGCTACTCAGGTGGCCGTCTATGCGCTCTTCCGTAGCCAGTCTAGCTCGCTGTTGTCTCCAGAGCTGGCGACAGGTGCGATCAATCTCTGGATTCAACGGCAGTAAACCTCCTGACTCGCTACGAGTCATGCACTACCTGCACACACTCAAGCAAGCAAACCCGTGAAGGCACAAGTGGGACAAAGCAAACAAAGCAAAAAGAAAAGCTAAATTAACAGAAGTCACTTTTCTTCAACAACCTAGCCGTCCCCGGCAACGGCGCCAAAAACTTGACTCACTTCTACTGTCACCCTAGGAATTGGCCAAGTGAAACCACTTCCTAAAGCGTAGTATAGCGGGTTAGGTTTATATGTCAACCTGGGTCCTAGATCTGATGACTACTCAGTGAATTCTTGTTATCTAGCAATGAAACTGGAATGCAAGTCTAAACTAACAAACTAACAAAGCAAGTAAACGATTGTATTCAGGTTAAGAGAGGTCACCCGGATATGGTTCCCCCTAGACTGCAGTTAAGCCGAATTGTAATTACCAAGTTCAGTTTCTATGATAGTTATACTGCGGAAGGTTCTTAAACAGCATGAAGTCTCGACTAAAGGACTTCAGACCCTCTCAATCTGAGTCTCTAGCGGGCGACTAACCTCCACCGGAGTAAACAGATTGAGGCCCTATGAACAAAACCTCCACTACCGGAGTAAATCCGGTATAGAATAGTGAGTTGGCTCCTCGACTAAAGTCACCAACTCCCTACCTTCAATCAAGGATGCTCAATCAACCTAGGCAGATATTCTCATTCTAGTTTAAAGCAGAAACAACAGGAATTTGATCAGGATTCAAGTCATTCAATCATTCAAACCTCAATCGAATATAATCAAGTCATAGAATCAGTACTTGGGTTCATACAATCAAAGCCTAACATACAAATCTAGGGTTCTCCATACCCAGATGAATGAGAGAACTACTCCATGGAGAAAGAAGAAAAAGCAGAATGAGACGCGAAATTCATACTGTGAAGGATGGATTCCTGCTCCTGGACGTTGATCGGCACTTCTCCAAGCTCAAACTGGCCTCCAATGGTGTTGAAGATCAATCTAGGGCACTTGGAGACTCTTGTTCGTCACTTTCTCTCTCTAGGAATCGCTCTATCTCTCTCAAAACTCGAATCCCCTTCTGTTTGGCTGAAAATTTGCTTAAAAGGGCATCAGTGGCCAAAGCACGGTCGAGGGCACGGCCGTGTAATGCCTCAGCCCGCCCGTGCTTTGGCTAGTGTTAATTACACTAGGAGAAACACGGCCGTGCTTTTGGGAGGACACGGCCGTGCTTTGGTGAAGCACGCCCGTGTTCTATCTCAGCCCTGCCCGTGTTTTGGCCAATGTTTGCCAAACTCGAATTAGCTCTCGGCAGTAAAAGCACGGTTTCAGAACACGGACGTGTTCTGGTTTAGGTGTGCCCGTGTTTTGGCTCAGCTTCACCGAAATGACTTCCGAATGCCCCGAAACTCGTGCTTAGCCTTCCCTTTTACACCTGGGACCTGAAACATGACAAAATAGCACAACCCGGCATAAAATAGGCCAAAAACACACGACTATGCCCCCAAACGGATAAGAACTAGGGGCGCAAATACGTGCAATTCCATCGTTATCAAATTCCCCCACACTTAACCGTTTGCTTGTCCCCAAGCAAACCTAACTCAAACCAATGCAACTCTCCAGACCTCTATAGCAACAAACAACCCAGATCGTAGGTAGAGGACTTCCTAGATCATTTAGCAGCTTACAAGGTCAACCGACGCACAAGTCATCTCATAGCTTCTTCGGCGAGAGCACTAGTATCGAGTCGGCATCATGGCAAATAGTGAACAGAGGACAAATGAATTGTGGATGAAGAGATTCTCAAAAACAAAAGATCATGGACTCACATTTTTCAAGGTGCTCTATTTTCTTCTTGAAGATGGTTGGAACCCCTTTTCTTTCTGTTTTGCTTGTTTTCTGTTATTTTTTCTTTTTTTTTTCTTTTTTTCAAGGGTCCCAACCGGCTCTTAGCGGCTATGCCAGGAGCGGATGTCTCGAGCCTCGTGCGGGGGAAAGACATGTAAGGGGGCTGGAGGTAGTAGGTGGAAATTGGGAACGAATTCCGTCTCCCCTTACACACTTTCGCCCTATTCGCACGGGAGACGTTATTTTGAAGCACATTTTCGAGCACCTGTTAAACTCAAAACATGATACAAGAGTCCATGACAGGTAGAGAGTCCACAACACCACACAATTCAAGGGTCCTAAGATCACTAATTCACTCAAGGGACGAACCCTAGAGAGAGAGAGAGAGAGAGAGAGAGAGAGAGAGAGAGAAACTGGGGATCATTCTTGGAGCTATTTTGGAGGATTTCTTCACCATTGGAGCTCGAGAATCAAGCGTGGAGATGGAGATTGAAGATCTAGATCAGATTTATGCAGTCTCTCTCTTCTCTATGGAGTAACTTCCCTTCACTTAGGTTTTGAGGAACCCTAGTTCCATATGTTAGGATCTTTCTTGTATGAAGTTTTGGATGCTATATTGTGTGATTATAATCCATTGCGGCATGATTTATTGAGTCAATTGAATCCTGATCAAAGTCTCTTGATTTCTGCTTTAACCATTGATAGATAGAATCTGATTAGGTCAAGAGAGCTTCCTTGATTGATAGTAGTGAATTGGTTGTGCGAGAGTCAGTCAACTCAATGCTTTGTACTAGAATTCATTCCAGTAGTGGAGATCTGTGTGAATCGCATTAGCAGTCTATCCCGATGAACGCTAGTTGCCTGCCGGGTATTCTGTCTAAGAGGGCTTGGTCAGCTTAAGAGATTCCAAGCTAATTTAGGATCTTCCGCAGTTTAATCAATAGTAGATCAACCAACGGTAACTACAACTTCGACCTAATTGAGGAGCTAGGGGGAATCATACCTAAGTGACTTCCCAACTTGTAATTAGTAGTTTAGCCTTAGTTTAGTTAGTAGAGTAGTTTAGTAAATCAAACATTAATCTGGTTTGCTAGATAATGAACTGAAGTTAAGTAATAGTAAGTCTACAGACCCGTGGATTCAATATTTATTACTTGTGCCACTATGCTACAGTCCCTTTCATTGGTTACACTTGACCATTGTAAGGAGATGTGTCGTAGCGTGTCAGTATTCTTTCTAGAGAAAAAGTCTGATGCTTTCCCAAAGTTCCTTCAATTCCAAGCAGTAGCTCGGAAGGAAAGCGAACATCAAATAAAAACTCTCCGTACAGATCGTAGAGGAGAACTTATTTATACTCTGTTCATGGAGTATTGCCGCAACAACGGAATCAAAAGGTAGCTGACGGTCCGTTACACACCACAATAAAATGGCATGGCAGAAAGGAAAAACCGCACGATTGTGATACTTGATATAAGTGAAGACTCGGATATGCCACTCATACTAGGACGTCCCTTCCTTGCCACCACCAAGGCGTTAATTGACGTTAATGAGGGAACCTTGATTCTGAGGGATGGTGAGGAGAGGATCACTCTTGAAACTGAACCTATGGCTAGGAATGAGGATGTGAAGGAATTGGTATCAGATGATTTGAATCTGAGTGGAGGAGAGCCTCTCAAGGCGAACCCCACTATTACTTTTGTTACTATGATGATGTTAATGAAGGAAGTAAAGGAGGGTACTATGCCTAAAGAGAGGAAGAAGAAAGCATGGAGGGAGAAGAGGAAGCAAGCTTTGGCCCGAAAAGAAGGAGAAGGGCAAAGCTAAGGTTGTCGGCCAAGAAGGCCACCCCATGGAGCTTAAGTTGGGAGGCTACATGCCTCGCCCCGAGAACGTGGTGGATCCACTCTCGGTGGCATCATCTTCTGAAACACCCTAACCTGGCCGGGTACTACTTTTACTAAAATGCCCCTGATAAAATAAAATACTCAAGTCTTGAATTGCAACTGGGAAAATTTTTCATAAATAAAATACTGAAAACACACACTTGTAGTTTAAAGCAAAGCCCTAACATGTGGGCAAATTAAACTCAAACTTTAAAAACTCAACTTGATCTCCAGTCTATACTTATAATCATAGAACATAATAACTAACTAGCCTCAGGTGTTGCTGCTTGTGTGAAAAACTCTGACTAGACATCCTCTGTGACGCTCGTACCGTCCTCCTCTAGATAGCTTCACTCGAACTGTTCCTCTCGATCCCGCTGCTCTCTAACTGCTCCTCTAACTTCTTCCTCTAGCTCTTCAAACTGGTGAGTGAGATGGGGTCAGTCTACACCCTTACGTTTTAGATTCTTACTGCTTAGCACTTAACTTAAAACACTTAACTTTGACTAGTGGAAGTTGTTTGTACTTCCAATCTTAAAAATCATAACTCTTAAACTTCGAGGGAGTTGAAGTTACTCTCCTCTCTTAAAGCTAAAATCTTGACTTAAATACTTGACTAACACAGGGATCCCTCACTAGCTAGTCTGGTTGCCAACTCATACGTATGACAAGCCATCAAGGCTTTCCTTAAACTTAAACTTAGTTAGGGAAGTCGTAACGATTCATCCCTCTAACATCTTAAACTTATCGTGGTGGCTCTTCACCACGATTCTCAAGAGCATAACTGCTGCTCATCTTAAAAGTCTCCAGAGCATAACTGCTGCTCTGTCTCAAAGATCTCCAGAGCATAACTGTTGCTCTATCTGAAAATCTCAAATGGCAACGGACTGGCGCTAGTGACTAAAAAACACTTAAAACGACTTCACCTTCTTGAAGGTGAGTTACTTCTTAAAAAGAACCTTGTTTCTTAAACTTTAACAATAACTTATACTCATAACATTTTCAAGGTAAATAATAACCATTCACTTCAAGTCATAACTCAAACAAGCACATATCATCAACCATAATCATGCAATCTCAAACATGAAGCAAATACTGCACATACATCACGTAAATCAATACTCGAAAAAAAATACTCAAGGCAGATACTTAAAAACCGTAAGGCGTAGAATTTACCCCCTTTACACTCACCTCATTGATCAGGTCGGCTTGGCTTGAGCTAACCACCCTCCTATTGCAAAAATCCAAGGGGTTCTAATCTCTGTCCCTCCTGCTGGCTTAACCGCTCACGGCCCGCCTCCTGCTTGCTTAAGCAGGTAGCTGACGTAGTGGAGAGGCATCCGAATCACATCCCATACGCCCTCGGACGCTTGCTTGCCTTCTTGGACACGGCGTAGGGTTGGCGGCTGATTTGGGATGAGGACGGGTGCGGGGAGAGAGGGTGTTGGGCGGGCGGTGACCGCTAGGGAATTATAGAACGGGGAGGTCGGATTTGGGAAAAAAAAATTTAATAATAATAATAATTATTATTATTACTACTAACCCGCGATTGCAACCTTAGTACGCAACTGTCAAACCAACCAATCACGTATTATGGTCGAACCATAACCCAAAATTCGGGGTGTTACATCTTCCAAAGCATGATAGGTCCATAACGTCAAACTAGTGACGTCAACTTAGCGCTTGTTGGGAGGCTACCCAACGAAGGTTTGTTTTCTTTTTCTTATTTTCAATTTTTTTTTTTTTTGAGTAAAGAGTTCAAGTGGTCGAGTGGTATCCATGTGCCAAGTTTTGTGGTTTTGCGTTTTAAGGTTGTGTTGTGATCGTTAGGAGGCACGGTGGAATAGGTCGAGTCAAAATTTTCTCAGAACTGCTCTATTTTCACTCGAGTTCATGGACTGATTTGAGTGTTAACGGTCTTGTGAACCAGGCACTTCTGCATGTGAACCACCTGTCGACCATGAACAAGCATACACGTCCGTGAACCAGGCACTTCTGCATGTGAACCACCTGTCGACCATCCCCAGTTCACGGACGGACTTGAGTGTTCACGGTCTCTAAGACCGTGAATGGCGTGCTTCGCCTATAAAAGGGGCGTGAATGGTGACTCTTCACTTTACGACCAAAAACTCGCCGGAAAGTTCAAATTCTCGCTAAAAAATCGCCCAAATCCGATGGTTTTTCATTTCTTCACCCATTTTCGGCGAGCAAAACCCAAAACCAATTGCATACCCATTCTCCCCACATCAAAACCAGCCTGTGCTGCTATTTTGGGGGGATTTGGGGCAAGTTTTTTCCGACAAAGTCGTCGGCTGCAAGTCTCCGACGAGCTTCCGATGAAGCTCCAACGACCACTCTCTGGTCTGTTTTTCACCCATTTTTTTCCTTCCTCGCCTGCACCTCACTTCCTCCTATGTTCTACTTGAGTCTCCAGGTTGGTTTTCCATCTATACTTTATTTAAATTGAGAAATTTGGATAAGGTAGTGAAGTGAGAATGATTTTGTAGTGCCTTGAATGTTGAACTTAGAATTAGGCGAGGAATTAGTCGAATTAGGTTGATTGAATATTGAAATGTCATTGCATGAGCTTAGTCGAGCCTTGGTGGGCATTTGGTGATTCGAATTTTTTTTATTTGTCGATTTTGCCCACCAACTGCTAATTGTTAAATTGAAATGAGTGGTTGTGTTTGAATGGTGGTTAGTAACCACCGTTGCATGGATTGGGGTTCAAATTCTTTTTGTTGATGAACCTGAAAAACCCACAACCATGCCACGGTGGGTTGAGCTTAAACGTTTGAGATCCATACTGGAAATAAGTGTGGGGGGAATTTCTTCTTCCTCTCAATGTGTTGTGCTTAACGAATATTTCCACGTATGGTGTTTGTTTGCCAATTTTTGCAGGATGCTTAATGAGGAGCATGAATTCATCAGTAACTTGGTGAACCATCCGTGGTTTGGCGACAAGTTCACCTACCAGAGGGACAGCCCGGTCGGGCCACACTGGCGGCTGGACTTGGACATGTTCAGGTGCCGAGCCACAATGTCGGGGGTCGTCTGTCACCCCAGTAGCTCCGAATGCTCACATTTGACGAGCAGATCTACCACGAGCTGTGCGTGGAGTTCTACTCCGCCTTCTCCCATGTGGTCCCAAGCAGCAAGAGTAGTCGCCCGTACGTGGGGTTTATGCTGGGAGGTCAGCCCTGAGTGTTGAACTATGACGCCTTCGCCCATGCCATGGGGCTCGACCCGATGCATATGATGATGACAGAGTGGCAGTACGCCACCGATTTTCACTATCAGGCCGCATTACAGGCCCTCTACCTCCCCAAGCACGAGACAGAGGAGTACGAGTTGAGCCGCACCAATGGGGTGAAGTTGAGGACCCCCTGGAGGATCCTCCACACTCTGATCACGCGATCTGTCATTCGCAGCCTGCAGTCGTGACATCTGATGACCAACATAGGGCTTATGACTCTCTTCTCCATTAGGCATCCGGCGGAGCCGATCCACCTGGGATCCCTGATAGCCATCTCTTTCGCCAGGTGTCAGGGGCGGAACAGGGTCGATACCATGCATATCGGGGGCATCATCACAAGGATTTCCCGCCATTTAGGAGTGGATGTGGAGCGATGCTCCATCATCGGGAGGACCGGGCCCTTCCTAGTGGCCGCACTTTACAACCAGCAGCTGGTACTTCAGGAGAGGGGCATTGAGTACCTCGATGGGCTCCGATCTTTAGGAGCCATGCATCCAGCAGTTGACCCGGCTCCAGTGGAGCCAGATGCAGGGGTTTCAACCCCAGAGCAGCCACCTGCTTGAGCACCCGGCCGCCGCCGGCGTCTCGCGCTCTGGCGCCCCATACCATCACCAACAACAACTTCTGCACCCAGACTAGCGGGTGATCCCCTCGTCTAGAGGATGGATCGCCTTGAGACCCAGTTTGGGGGAGTGACTTCCCGCCTCGACCGATAGACGGACCTCCTCGAGTAGATGGCTAGACGCCAGGGTCTCATTCCCGATGATGAGCCAGGGCCTTCGACCCAGTGAGGTAGCCGAAGAGGGAGATATGTGGCAGAGCCGATTCCTTTCGCCCCACTACTCCACTTGGAACTCTAAACTCTTTTGTTTTATTTTTCTTTCGTTATGTGTGTGTGACCACAAACTACTACTATTACTACTACTATCATATTGTGTTGTGTAATAACCTCGCCTAGAGCAAGTCGTATTGTGTTTGTGTGTGTGTATTTTTTTGCCTTTTCCTTGAAGCTCCAAATTTCCTACCCTAGAAACAAATCCAAATTTCACTCACCAAGCAAAGTGTTAACAACGTTCTACCCCTATCTTACGCCATTGAGGGCAATGTCGAGCTTAAGTGTGGGGGGTAGTCTACTTTTATGCTTGTGTGAGTGTGATTGATGCTTGGAGCCTTGATTTATGCCCAAATTTGAAAATTTTGAGGGCTCCAAGCAATGTTTGCATGATCAAAGTGGCTAGTTTGTAGGAGAATCTTGTGGTTATTGCCATTTACCTTGAATTGTTGCTTGTGATCGAGTACGTCCTATGATGATGATTGAGAGGTGCATTAGGATAGTGCAAAGGTTTAGTTCTCATGTGTGCAAAAATGAATGAATGTTTTGACTCGATTACTTGTTGATTACAATTGACATGCATGTTGCTTTATGAATTGGAATAGATGGTTGGGTGACTAGGTAGCCATGTGAGATTTGAGCCGATTGTTTTCTTCTTGTGTGCTTAGATCCCTCTTACCATGGCGAGTAACATAACAGTTGTCACTAGTGAGTATGATGGAGGCATAGGATTAGTCCACGCCCAAATGTTGATTGTCCCGAAATGATGGGTGATAGTTTGGAAGGGAGAAGCAAGGTTTTTGGCTGATGCTAGTGCCCGTTGTTTGTTAGGAAGGTTCTTAGTCGAAACCATAGAACCTTCGGTTTTAGGGTGAAGATGTAGGACCTCATGATGTGTTTGCCACCACCCAAAAAGCATTTTCCCCATGTCCAAGACAATTCCACACATTTTATCCCCGTTTCCCTTGGGCGTTTGTAATATTCGAACTCCTAGAAGGGTGGTTTTACGCTAGGTTTTATACGTTTTAGTGTGTTTCAGGATCCGAAAGGTGAAACCAGCCCTAGAGTCGAAAGTTGGACGAAAAGAGGCAAAGACCGGGCAAAGAGGGTGATCTAGGCGAGGTTCACGGGTTAGCATTGGAGTTCACGGTCCCCTATGGTCGTGAAGTGAATCCCAAAACCGCGAACCGCGTTGCGTCCTGGGTGAAATCTTCAATTACTAGCGAGAGATGAGTTCACGGTCAACAAGACCGTGAAGATCGAGGCCAAACCTTGAACTCTTGATGGCGAAGCAATGCGTTTCGACATCGCGCTCTGTGTTCACGGACGCGTTGAAGAGTTCATAGCCGTGAACTAAGCCTAATCCTGGTATAAAGGTGAGCTGAAAGGAAGAGAGAGGGAGACCCCAAGTGTGAGAAAGTGTATTCTTTTTCAGATTTTAGAGAGAGAAAGGACGAACCAAGGAAGAAGGAAGGCTATGGTTTGCTCCAAGTGGTGAATTGAGAAGAATCTCCCAAAGAGAAGATCAACTCAAGCTTAAATGAGATTGGAGGCATCACCATGATGGTTTCTACCTCCTTCTCTTGTGTTCTCCCCCTTTCAAGCATGGGAAGAGGCCGGTAATGGCGTGTGATTGGTGTTCGAGTACGAATCATGAGATTTCAGAGTGTCAAATGATGAAGGAATCAAGCACCCACGAGGAGAAAGTGAGTTTCATCGCCAATGCTAGAGGGAACAACCCCTATAGCAACATTTACAACCTGGGGTGGCGAAATCATCCCAATTTCTCTTGGTCCTTCCCTACCAACCCAAGAACCCCCGGTTTCCAAGGACCGACGGGGAATTATCAACCAAGGACTACTTTCATTCAACAAAGGCCGCAATTCCAAGGCTCTAATTTCCAACAACTGTTCCAAGCTCAAGGCGTCAAGGGTTCCAACAACCCAATAAGTTTGCGAAACTTGAAGACCTTGTGACCACCTTCGTGAGCACGAGCACTCAACAGTTTGAGAAAATTTATGGATGTAGCAACAACAAAGTTTACTTCGGTTGAGGTGGAATTGAGGAGCCATCAAGCAAGCCTTCAAAACTTGGAGGTGCAAATTGGTAATCTTGCTGGGATCCTCACCGACAGACCAAGGGGAGCCCTACCCTCTCATAATATTGTCAACCCCAACGATGAAATTTTTTTTTGCAATGCTATTATTTTGAGGAGCAGGAAGGTGACCCCGAAGGTTTTTCCTAAGGAAGTGATCGAAGAAGAGAAGACTCCTCTAATGACTCGATATTTGCACATGTTTTTCCCTTTGTTTCTTGATCGTTTAAGCTTTCATTATCGCTTCTTTGGCCTATTTTGTTCTAGGTTGCGTTCCTTTGTCACATTTCAGGTCCTAGCACATAAAGTAAAGCATAGGCGCAAGTTTCAAGTCAATCAGAGATCAATTGGCGACTCCGGGGAAGAACTCGGTTGCGTCGTTTTTGCCTGAGTTTACAGTCCAGGAGTTATTATCACGGTTGCGTCGACCGTGAAAACTAATTTTCCTCCGTGAACTGTGGGCTCGTGCTATATAAAGAGAGTGAACACTTCTTCTTTACTTTACGCTATCACCGCTGGAATCCTCTGAAATCCTCCCCGGAAAACCACGACAACCGTCATTCTCTGGCAATTTCGGCGACTTCTGGCCACCCAAATTCAAAACCATAACTGGTCTCAATTTTCTCTCATCTGGACGAAGCTCCAATGAGCCTCTCCTAGAAGTTTTTGTGCATTTTTTTGACTCCCTCACCCTCTCCCCACCTTCCCCTCGATCCTACTTGAGTCTCCAGGTTTTTTTTTTTTTACCTTCACCTTGTCAATTTTGGAGAATCGGATTAGGGTTGTAGGTGAGGGGAATTTTGTGATATAGTAAATGAATGTTGAAATTGGGCTAGGAGTTAGTTGATTAATGTTATTTGAATGATGAATGAAGTGGTTATGAGCTTAATTGTTCCTTGGTGTACACGAATTGGGTAGGACCATAGTGGGATCCTAAGTGTGGGGGAATTCCTTTTCTCCCTGTATGGTGTATGGGTTTAATATTTTTGCAGGATGGCGGATACCTCTAACCAGTACATTAGCTACTTGGTGAATCAACATAAGTACGAGAATAGATTCGAAGAGTGAAGGAACAATGATGCAAAACCGCATTAGTTCTTGGACCTGGACATGTTCACCATGTTCAGGTGCCCAACGTCGTGTCTAGGGTGCTCATCCATCCCTAGTGGCGGAGTCCTTTATCCATGGATGAGCTCATCTATAGAGAGCCCTTTGTGGAGTTCTACTCCACCTTCATCCACGAGAATCCCACCAGCAGAAGGAACATGCCATATGTGGAGTTTATGTTGGGAGGTCAGCATCGCGTGCTGATCTATAACGAGTTTCCTTAGGCCATGGGCCTCGACACCACCACCATGACAATGACAGCACGGGAGTACACTAGAGACTTCCATTACCAGGAGGCCTACAGTGCTATCTATCGGCCAAAGCATCGAGACCACCATTTTCGGGCCTCCAACACCAATGTTGTGAAGTTCCGGACACCATGGAGGATCTTGCATACGCTCCTCACCCAATCGGTGATCCCCGGTCTTCATTCAGGGCACATGGTCACCAACAGAGGGTTGATTTCCCTCCATTCATTGATTCGACCCACATCACCACTTCATCTGGGATCAGTGGTTGCTACCACCTTCTCGAGGGTGATGGGTCGCGACCGAGTAGACACGATGCACTTGGGGGCATCATCACGAGGATTGCATGCCATTTGGGTCAACACCACGGGCTACACCATCATCAGCCAGGCTTCTTCTTTTCTTTGGTTCGTCACTTTCTCACTCTAGAAATCCAAAGAAGAACAAGTTTCTCACTTAGGTCTCCCTCGTTTTACCTTCAGCTCAAACGCCTTTTTATACCGAGGTCGGGTTCACATCACGGTCCTAGTTCATGGCGGTGAACTCAAGGCGTGGACCATGATCCCAGGCCAAAACGCGTCGCATCAATAATCTAGTTCACGGTCTACGGCTTGGGTTCACGGTTTTACGACCGTGAACTGGCTTGACTCTAGTGAAAGCAAAAATGTCCTTGGACGCTTGGCGGTTCACGGTTTGTGGCTCCAGCTAATGGTCGCCCTGACCATAAACTAGCAGCTTCCACCTTGATCTGCTACTACCTCCATCCTTTGACCCGATTTTTCGCCTTTTCATCCAACTTTCGACTCCGGGGTTGGTTCCACCTGCTATAGACTGAAATGCATATAATCGAGACAAAACCCAGCGTAAAACCAAACCTCCCGGAGTAAAAATGCCTCAAATGACTAAGGAATCCGGGGGTAAAAAGTGTACATTTGAGCCCGAATCACTCCCCCACACTTAGACGTTTGCTTGTCCCTAAGCAAACTATTTTCAACCAAGGTGATATCTCAACCTAACAAAATAACTTGGGGACAAATCAAAAGGCACAAATTGGTGAACCTCAATGGCTATTGGGCATCATCCCATGGACCGCCTCAAGGAATACATGTATCCACCACAAATGACATTTGAATGCATCAAGAATGGGCAAATGAGAAGTTCTCACCCTTTCAAAAATCAATGCAATTCTCAACCGGACTACTCACCAACCACAACTAACCATGCATAGAACTCAATTCCAAGGAACAAATAAAAAGGCGACAAAGGTCCTCACCTGTGTAGGATATGAAAATGCAAAACAAGAATGAATCACTCACTCTCAACTAGTGGGGTCAGGACCTTTTGGGTGCAAAAGATATGCACAACCATCAACACTCAGCCCTATCATCTCTCCACCACCCTGGCAACCTCTAAATGCTAGAGTTCACAGGGTGGTTGTCATCACTAGCTTGTCCGAAGGTCTTAGACACAGGTTCAAATGAATGGCAATTGTTTTGGACATGGGGAAAAAGCTTTTTGGGTGGTGGCAAACATAGCATGAGATCTTACATCTTCAACCTAAAACCAAAGGTTCCATGGTTTAGACTAAGAACCCTTCCTGCGATCAATGACCACTAGCTTCGGCCAAAACCACACTTCCCTTCTTCCAAACCACTACCAATCGCAAACTTCATTCAAGCACACTCCTCGGTCTCTTCTTGCTATTCAAAATTTCAACCCTAGTAGTGAAGGAGGTTATCAACTTTTGTGGCCACTCTCTACTTTTATTTACCCCGTTTTATTACCTCTTTTTCCGTTTCTTGTCTTTCTTTCTTTCAATCAACATTAAGCTCAACAAGCACAAAGCTCCAAACATTAGAATGACCCCCAAAGTCACACGGCTTAAAGGGGTTGACTAGGAGATAATATGTTTCGGGACAATCAACTTTTGGGCGTGGACTAATCATATGCCTCGATCATACTCACTAGTGACAATCGTGAATGTTACACACCATGGCGAGAGGGATCTATCGCACATGAAAAAAGACGATCAACACAAATCTCACATGGCTACCTAGCCACCCAATCATCTATTCCAATTTCAATAATTTCAATGCATGGCAATTCTAATCAAGGAGTAACCAATTCAAGCCATCCATTCATTTAAGAACGCAGGAGAACTAAGCTTTTGCACAAACCTAATGCACTCTCACTCATCATAAAAGGATGAACTCGATCATATGCAACAACTCGACATCATGCCAATAAGCATGAGATTCACCCACCAACTGCCCATTTGATCATGCATTGCTTGGAGCCCTAAAAATTTTCAAATTTAGGCATAATCAAGGCTCCAAGCATTCAATCGCACACATAAGCATAATAATAAACCACCCCCTACACTAAAGCTCGACATTGCCCTCAATGGCATAAAATAGGGGGTAGAACGATGTTACCGCATGGCTTAGTGAATGAAAGTTGGAGAATTTCTCGGGGTAGGATGTTTGAGCTTCACAGGGAAAACGAAACAAAACACACGCGCATTCTCACTCGAGGCGAGGTTATTACACATAACAAAGTTTCACATCACAATTCAAAGGAAATAACTCACAAGTTACTAGTTCGCACACTAAAGAAAGAGAGTAAAAATAAACAGAGTTCAGAGTTTCAAGTGGAGAAGTGGGGCGAAAGAAATCGGCTTCACCACATGTCTCACTCGTTGGCTACCTCATCGTGGGTTCAAGGTCACTCCTCGTCGTCTAAAAGGATGCCCTGGCATTGAGCAATCCTCTCTAGGAGGTCGGTGGATCGGTCTAGCTGAGTGGTGACTCCCACAAACTTCTCCTCGAGGCGATCCACTTGCTGCTCGAGGTGGGCTCCAAAGGAGGAAGGTTCAGCTCCTAATGATGATGATGTTATTGATGGTGGTGGTGCGGTACGCCGGCGGCGTCCTGGAGCTTTGGTAGGTGGCTGCTTTGGAGGAGGGACCTCTGTATCAGGCCCCACTGGAGTGGGTCGACCTGTGGCCTTTGAGCGGCCGAACGTCGGAGTCCCTAGTGGAACTCTGTTCGTGATCATGTGGCCGGACATCAGGATGGGGATGATGGACTTCGTCAGAAGTGTGTGTAGGATCCTCCACGACATCTGAAGCTTCACTGGATTAGTGTTGGAGCTCTTGAACTCGTTGTCTTGGTGCTCTGGGCGATAGATGGTCTGGAAGGTGCTGGTAGTAGAAGTCTGTGTAATGTCTCTCTGTCATCGTCATGTATGTGGGATCGAGCCCCTTGGCCTAGGCATAGCCATCGTAAGACAGTACACGCTGCTCACCCCCCAGCATGAACTCCACGTACGGGCGACTCCGCTTGCTCCCTGGGATGACGTGGGAGAAGGTGGAGTAGAACTCCACGCAGATCTCGGGGTAGATGAGCTTGTCAATTGCTAGGAGGCAGCGCCACTGGGGATGAGTGAGGACCCCCTGACATTGCTGCCCGACACCTGAACATGTTAAATAAGTCCAGGTCCAAAGACCAATGAGGCTCCGCCTCACTATACCTCCACTGCTGGAATTTGGTACCATAGTTCTCAGGGTTCACAAGGTAGTGTACATATGCGTGATCCGCGCCAACCATCATACAAAAACATCCAAAACATATAACATATGTGGAAATATCTGTCAATTTCACATCAAAGGGGAGAAAAGAATTCCCCCACACTTAGGATTCCACTAAGGTCATATGCCTTTGAATACTTTTCACAAGATCGGATTTCACAATTTAAGCCAAGTGCACACAAAGCTCATCGAGGCATGGTTCTAGGTGATTCACGGATTATCAAAACACAATATAAAACCCATACCATGCCTTGATAGCTTCCCACAACCATTCACAACAAATGAATTCACACATAATGCACTTGGTGGGCTAATTCCACACCTAATCACAAACTATACCCAAATCATGCCCACCAAGGCTCAATTAAGCTCATAGAATCCACATGCAATATTCATTCAACATTAATCGTCTAACCCCTCTCCCAATTTCAATATCCATTCAATTAAATCGCAAAGTCCCCTCACCTTCACCCTAATCTGATTCTCCAAAAATTGACAAACTAAAAGTTGAAAAAAAACTGGAGACTGAAGTAGGATTGAAGGGGGAATGAGGATAGGACGAGCGAGTCAAAAAATCCACGAAAAACTGGCCGGATGGGTTCATCGGAGCATCGTCGGAAGCCGCCGGAAATTGCCTCACAGGATTGGAGCCAAACCTCCCCAAAACTTCGGCGAAGGTGCTCCTGAACGCAAGACGACTGGGTCTGTGTTTGGTTTTGGGTTTGGGTAGCCGGAAGTCGCCGAAATCAACAAAGAACAGTGTGAAATTGCGATTTTCCGGCGATGTTCAGAGGATTCCAATGAGGGTGGCGGCGTGAAGGTGAAAAGGAGGGGTTCACGCCCCTTTTATAGGTCGATCCCGCAGTTCACGGATGGAGGGGCAGTTCACGGTCTCTAACACCGTGAACATAACTCCCAGAGCATGAACTCAGGTAAAACGGTAGTTTCAAAGACTACTGGACTTGCCCTCAATTATGGTATCCAGCCTTTTACCACGGTCGCTAAGACCGCGAACTGGAAGCAGAAACAGTGAATTGAGTGACAACAGGGCTTTTTCAAAAAATTTGACTCAAACAACTCCACCGTGCCCCTAATTCAATCACAACACAACCCAAAACACTCAAACACACAGAACTGGCATGGTGATAGCCATTCCAATGCTTGAACTCCTCATAAAAACACAAAAAGAGAAAAATAAGGAAAAGAAAACAAACCTTTTGTTGGGATGCCTCCCAACAAGCGCTAGATTAACGCCACTAGCTCGACGTTGCGGATCTATCATGCTTGAGGCCACGAAGCCACCAAGAATGGATCCACCACGGTCTCGAGGAGAGGTTTTTCACCTCCCAACTTAAGCTCCATAGGGTAGCCTTATTGGTCCGACACTTTCACCTTACCCTTATCTTTTGGTCGAGAAGAATCCTGGTTTAGCTTATCCCTCCATGTTCTCTTTTTCTTTCCTTACGGCTTAGTACCCGCCTTGGTTTCCTGCACCTCATCATCGAATGAAACACAACCACAAGCGGGGTTTGCCTTGAGAGCTCACCTCCACTTCCAATCATACCACTCGAGTCAATTTCCTTCACAACATCATTATTAGCCTTATGATCAATTGAAAGAGTGAGTTGCTCCTCTCCATCTCTCAAAACCAGAGTTGCCTCATTACCATAGATTAAGGCCTTGGTGGTGGGACAGATGGGGGGGCACTAGTATGAGTGGCATATCCGCATCTTCACTGATATCAAGGATAAAAAATATGTCGGATAAAAGAAATTGCCAACTCTCACTGGGACGTCCTCTACAATACCTCTAGGACTAATGACAGATGACTCGCTCTGACTATCACAATAAAATCACAACTAAGGTACAAGTATAAACCTAATATGGGTGCAAAATAAGACATGTATGTTTAAATATCTACCCGGGCCGGTCAATTTACCGCTACTTCGACTGTTTGAAACATTATCTAGCAGATCAGTTTTGGTGAAAACAAAGGTTTAAAACTAAATTACTTTGCAAAGGTAAAATGGACTTGACTCTAGTTGAGAAAGCTTCACCCGGGTGTTGCTCCCCCTAGCTATCAATTATGACTTGAAGAGTCGAACGACCGTGTGTGGTTAGGGGGTCATAAACCACAGGGAAGTCTAACAAGCAACCAAGGTTACCCTCTTAGACTCTAGGTTGAGGAATCGGATACGATCCCAGCCACCGATGTGACCCTCTCAACCTATCGACTAAGGAATGGTTAGACTTCACCCTCGAATTGGAGTTCTGACGGCCACCCACAACCAAACCCTAAGTGTTTAATACGAA